TATTTAAGTATTAAGCCCTCAGAGGAAAAACACATTTTTAAAGAATTGTAAGCCTCAGGTTCGACCCAAATTGTGGTAAGAAATATATGAAATGTTAAAAAAGAGATTGTTATTAGAATTATTAAAATACTGATTTCTATATTTACAGGTGCTTTCTTGCAGACAATCATAACTAAATAATATCGTCTCTGTAAACAATTTTGTTTTCTATACTATTTAGATAGTATGATTTAATTTTAAAACTGTGAAATTTGAAACTTAAAATTTTAACACAGTTAAAAACGGAAACTGTAAATTCCTTCATTTTGTAGTGAAAATTTTAAATTTTTAAATTTGGGTAAGTATATGGAAACTTTTTAAATTAAATTTTAAATCTAAATTTTTCCCAGTGTATGTTCATAAATTTTGAATTCAAAAGAACCCATTTTCTAATTCAATATGGCGTCTATGAAAATGCAAACTTCTTGACGACTAATTTACATTCTACTTTTTCGCTAAAAAGAAAATATTTTCTATGGTTAGAAATTATTGTTGATTTACATTTTGATAAGCAAAAAAAAGTTATCTTTACAAGTATCAATGTACTAAACAAATATAGCAAAGTAACACAAATCGTATATTTCTTTTGTAAAAATTTTGTTTCTGCAGATTGAGCGCTTTGAAAAAATTTATTCTTTATTTAATTTGATTTTACCAAAAATGATAAAAATAACGTTGGCGCCAACATTTATTTTGGTAGACGCTTATATTCTATTCGTATATAAAATTATTTTTGATGTTTATGTAACTGCGTATACCGAATATTATAAAACTGTTGATATGTACATATTGTAGTTGCATAATTGTTATTTGAAGTTCTCAAATTTAATGTTACGGTAATTGGATAAATTGGCTCTGAATTAAATTTCTTTGATTTGTAATTAAAATTAGAGTCACTTTTTATATTTAAATATAGATAAATTTTCAGACATCTCAAAAATTTGGAATTAAACAAAGTTACGAGTATTCGCGCCACATAATCAAATAAAGAATCTGTTAAATTCAAAAAGTGTTAAAAAATTTTTTTGATTTATATTCGTGATCAATTTTGGTCATATACAAAAAAAATATTTAATTTCTGCATTAATAACTAAAATGAAAATTATTATACAATTTATTATTATTGTTTATCAGTAATTACAATTATTATTGTAATTACTGATATAAGTAGTATCTAAACGTTGTTTTTTTACAATATTTTTTCAAACACATTTTTTCCAATGCATAACTTCTGCATTTCATTCATATACATATGTATGTATAAACATATATGGATAAAAATGATTTCATCTAAAAAAACAACTAAAGCAACTTGATTAAATGAAATTGTTTTATACATATGTACCTACATATATCAAATACATACATTCGTGCAAGTAATGTCACTAAAGAGAATATAATATCTGAAGTTTCTTAATTTTATAAACTTCATATAATGAAGTTGATTTATATAAATTAAAATTTCATTCATTTTTTAGTTTCTGCCATCATAATCGCAAATATTAGAGTATTTTACAAAACCTGAAACCACCCTTATGTAAACTAACTCAAATTGTCTATTAAAATTGTTAATAAAGCTGTGGAAATTGAATAATTAATAAATAATGCCATTGAGTTATTTGTAAACTTTTCGATCTCATTAGTCAACTAAACTTTAAGAAGGGTATTTGTATTTGTTGCAATGACATCTTTTCTTTAAATCGATTTCGTAACTTGAGATAAGGACTACACAAAATAATACTTTGAAAATTTTTAATAAAAATTACTTTTTAATAAATAAATTTTAAAATTTTGAATGTTGCGTTTCCTACATTTCTTAGATTAGGTAAGGTGTAATTCCTAAAAGTTTTTAAACTGTTAAACTATGTATTCAGTTACAGAGAATCCAATTTTAAAATCAGTTTCTTACAACAAAATGACAATAAATTTACGATAGTTTTGCACTACAAAATGTTTGAAAACTATAAACACATCAATTTTGACTGGGGTGGAGCGTATTTTTTCAAATCAGCAAAAAGAATATTCTTTTTGCTATGATTTGAGAAAAGAGCCTAATCATTACTGAGAAAATACTTTTTACTATGGCTAAAACTTCGTCATAAATTCAATAGTATTATATACGATTTAATTTTATCGCCCACTAATTGCAAGTGCCATAGTCTTAGGTTTAAAGAACAAACACTTGCGTAAAAATTCGTCCTTAATTTTTATTTATTATTAACGTTAAAAAACATTTAGCATGACTTCTAATAATTTAGAAATTTCTAGTTAAATACTATATTTACCTTTTGATTTCAACAACTGAACACACGCAATCTTAATATTTAAACAACTATATACATACATATATATTGTAACCAAATATATTTAAAGTAATTTGTTAATAAGTAAAATATAAGTAAAACTATTTATTAGAGATTGTGTTTTTGTACTTAAATAAAGTTGGGGCAAACCAATGGTTTGTAATGCAGTACTTTTTCCTTCAACAAGCGAAGATACTGCTTTTAAAAACAATCTAGTCGTGTACTACACTATTAAAATTACTTTCATTCATATTTTCATATGAAAATATTTCAAAAATTGCATATACAGGATGAGTAATGTAAGCAATCTTTGAAATAAAACAAAAAAAAATTTAAAAAGGCGTTAACATATTGCCAGAATTCAAGGGTTAAGTGAGTTAAGAAAAATAATCATATTTTTTGATGGCATGGCATTCACCGTTTTTCTTTCTTTCTTTATGCATTTATAGAAATTGGGAAAAAACTTGCAGTTTCTAAAATATAAAGTGCCAAAAATTCTGATTTTCCAAATCTCAAGAAGCAATAACTTGAGATGGAGCTGAAAAAAAATTTCTTCTAACGAAATAATGCATTAACCAATATTTGAAAGCTTTTTAAATTTCAGACTCCCGAAACTTATGTCTTAAAAGAAAAACGATATCAAAAATTCGAAAAAACAGGCTTAAAATTACGGTTAATTTTAGTATCCAATTTGTTTTCTAATATTTAACTATGCTATGCCGCGCTAGAAAAAGCCCTGCTCTATTGAAATTAACAAAATTTGAAAAATCTTAATGGTTTCTTTAAAATAAGTAGTCAAAATTTGGCACTTCTAGGTTTTTGTGACTATAACGTTTTGGGGGAAGTGGGGGGGGGGGGGGGGGGTTATAGGTAAAACTTTTATTATACGGCAATAAGTTTCCAGGAAGGATCTATGTACATATGAATTTTCAGCTTTAAATTTTCAAGTGTGTAGAAGTTTTGTAAACAGACACACGGACAGAGCGAAACTAATAAGCAATTTTTTTTAAACTTTTTTTGGAAACGTCCTAAAAATTTTTTTCATTTCGAAAATAAATAAATATGTATTATATACATACATACAAATTATTAATTACATACATTTACATACGTAGGATAAAATAAATCTAACAAACTGGTTATCAAGAATAACAATAGACTAAAGAATTCTTTTCAAAATATTAAGCGTAACTTAACATAAAAATGCGATGTAAATGATGTAATGAGTTTATTTTACTGTAAGTCGAAACTGGAAAGTAATTGCACGTAACTACTACCATTCAATGACATTTTATTCAATACTTAATTAATTTTTTTGTGTTCACTTTGTTTAAAATGTTAATAAACAAATGTGTGCAATTTCAGACGAGCAATTGCCTCTTGTCACCCCAGGATTAAAAAATGTTTCATATTCTCAATTAATTTTTTTTTACAACTATGCAAAAAAATTAATTCCGTTTAATTACTCTTATTTGCAAAAAAGAAAAAATTTTTTTGTTTTTAGTAATGAGTTTCGACATTAACTTAATTCATTTAAACTTTTGTGTGTTTCTGGGATAAAATTTATCATTCCATTTTACTAATTTCATGCACTAAATTCCCTCTCAATACATTCGATCTTTAAATTTTCTATAAACTTTCCTACACTATTACACGAAATCTATCAGGTACGTACTTGGAAAATTATTTGGTTCTTTTGAAAATGTTTCTTTGATTTTCAGGATATCTGTGAGACTAATTTTTCAAAATATCCCATACAACACTATATTTCATTAATTATACAGTTTACTCTTAATGGAACTTTATATGTTATGTAGTTGCCTCTTAATGGAACTTTATGTGTTATCTTAAGCCTTGTACGTTATATTTTCTAAAGTGTCGATGATCAAAAGTTATTGAAATCCTCAAGACTTCTTAAACACAGCCTTATTTCATTATATTCGCTCACACTTTTTGAAATTTCAATTAAGCATGCGGGAAGTCAAAAGAACAGAAAAGGTATAAGATAGGGCAATCAAAAAGTGAAACTTTAAAAATAAATTCTAGCAAAAGTCTTACAACTTACGAAGATTCTTTCAATAAAACAATATTCGCCAAACTTTGAGTAAAAATTTTACTACATCAAACCTACGTTTTGTAAATAATGTATTTCTCTTTAACAATTTAAGTCAAAAGTTTCCTAGAATAATAATTTTCTAAATATCTATAATAATATACGTACAAAGCTTGAATTATATCGTTTACAAAAGCTCGATTGAGTTAGTAGTATCGAAAAGGTAACTGACAATTCATATTATGTATCCTAAATATTTGAAAATATGCAAAATTAGATTATTTGGGCTGTATTACATTATTTGGAACTTACAATCCATCGCGGTAACAAAAAAGCATCATGTCCAAATTTCAACTTAATTGTTCAGTAGTTTCATCGTCTATGCGGTTTGTGTACGTGCCGTTGTAACAAACCTTTTAATGTTTTGTGACAAAATTTTTATTGTGCGAAAGTTTCAAATGATTTTTATGCAATACTTATCATAAGTATACAAAGTCTTAAGATTTAAATCCGTCTTTTCATTATCTTATCAAAAATATCTTTAGATTTAGACATAATTAATTTAATTTCTGAGTGATATAAAAAATCAATCAAGCATTTAAATAAGTTCAGTTATAGTTCAGTATCACGCTAATTCATAACTATAGAAATATTATATAAAATGAAGTATAAAATACCAAAAACTTTCCTTGTTCTGGCTTTCACATCATTTTGCTTGGCCGGAATATGTGAGTTTTGGACAATGTTAAAATAACAATTTTGTTTTGTTTCAATCCGATTTATGTGACAAGTAATTACTTTTATATTAAATTAATTTTAGTACCACCACCACCAGGTGATAAATGTGTTAGTCCTAATGGCAAAGGTTTAGCAAAAGCAGTTCATGAATTATTTGAATTAATCCCAGCATACGATTGGTTAGAAATTTATATGGTTGCCGTTAGTAACGATCCAGAAGTTATACGTGTGATGGAATACCTTACTGGAGAAGAGTTTAATGAAATAATTGATACGATGAACAGTCAAAGCGAATATATTGAAGCATTAGAGTTTTTCTGTGAGCAGTTACATTTTGATATTTACTTTTATATTAATTCTTTAGCTGAAGTTATTGGGTTACCAGTGGTTACACGTCCACCAAAACTAATATCCGAAGTTAATAATTATCGGCGTGAAGGTTTCAATGGTATGTTGCAAGATTTATACGATACTTTACCACATGACAAATTAAAGGAGACATGGAGACGTTTATATGAAGAAGATGAATATCTAAGAGCAGCAATGGATTTGTTAAGCTCAGAAGAATTTCGTTTAATTGGTGATGCTATTGAGGATCTTGATGCATTTAAAAATTTAATGCAACGCTTAAGGGATATTGGAGTAGATGCTGATGGCCTTTTGAAAAAAATTATGGATTTCTTTGGCTGGAGACCACACCGAACAACAACAGCTAAATATTTTTAAATGGATTATAAGTAATAAAGTTGAAAAATTTTATCAATAATTTGATAATATGCACATCTTTCTTAAATATCTTTTAATAAAGCATAAACCACAAATGGAAAAAGTTCTCTATTGCTTTTCATTATATTTTCAACTTAAAATTGTGAGGTGCAACAATTATTTAAAATATTTTACAAAGGGAATCCTTTGCACAAAAGAAACAACTTGTGAAAGTTTGGTGCCGATTGCATTATTCGTTTTCGATTGCAGTAAATTTTATTCGCTAAATACGTTTTAAGAAAACCCAATAACAGAGCTAATATTAAAATTTAAACAAAAATCATCCAGTTAATAACTGGAATTCAAAGAGCTAGAATCGCTGCGGGCAAATGCCAAAACTTAATGAATTCATCAACATATATATGTATATATGTATATATTAAACTCATGAAAGATATTCTCCAGCATTTTTATTTCACCAGAAATACATATTCCGTGACTTCAATAATGGTTTAAGTAAAAAAAGTTTAAGTACGGGTTTAATACGATTTTAGTATTGTCTCACAGCTTTGAATATTTTACAATATTATTACATACTTTGACGTTTGTTTGAAAATTTCAATTTAAAGTTCTGTGCAAATGTCAATTTTCAACCACATCATTAAAAACATAGCATTTAGGAAGGGAACTTAATAACTAGCACTTTATTGCTGAAAATATATGTTAGTTTATTTAATTGGTTATCTGCCAACATTTATATGACGTGTATAAGAAAAGCTCGAAGAATATAGCAAATTAATAAATCTAATATAGCCGGCACATAACTGATCGCTGTAGAAGATTGCAAAAATGCCTTTTAGTCACTTCTTTTCAATTTCAAGGAAGTTAGAAAGCTTTTAGCTAGCTAGCATACTTACTAAAATTAAAATTCTTGGCTCTTGGTAGATTTTCGCTTTAAGTCATCCGAATTCCCCGAAAAGTTCGGCAGTAAGCTTTAGTACTCGTAACAAACAAAACGCAAGTATTAAATTTCAAAAAATTGCACCAGTTAGTAGATATATTGGTAGATAATAAAATGTAAAATCGGCTCCTAGTTTGGTTTCCCAAAAATTTTCAAAAAATTATAAGTTCACTATTTCAACGCCTCTAATTTAAATATTAAATTTCAAGAAAACGGGTGTTTGCATAAGTTGATCAATCCATAACACAGTTAAAATAAACTTGCATATAGAGTGTGATCAAAATCGATTCAGCCAAACTTGAAATACACGCGTGACCGACATCTCTCTATAAATAGTTTGTTTACGCTTCCCTGCCATGAAGAACTGTATCTTTGGTGTGATCACAAAACCTCCCTTATCGTATGCAATGCGGTCGCTAAAAATTTATAATTGCATTTTTATTTTTCGTAATTTGAAAAACATTATCTTTTTTCTTATAACGGATAGTTTAATGCAAAAAACGCAACTTTAAAAACAAGTATTCATTTAAAGTTTTCTTGTTGCCGTCAAGAATCACAAAACGTAAAATTTTAATTGTACATCATGTAACTTTTTTATATGATATATCTCGTAACCCATTTATTGTCAAGAGACTCATTAAGTAAGTTATTAAGGTAAATTTCAGTATGTATGTATGTGTTGAACCAATGAATATTATAAGTAATACAAGAGTAATATATTTGATAATAATATTTACCAGGACCTGAATTTGTTCATTATTAGATTGAAAATTTCTCCATTTATTTACTCGAAATTATGTATTAGAAACCCAAGGAAAAATATCAAATTAAATAAAGGAAATGAGAGTGATCGTATTATTAAAAAAAATTCTTACTCGTATTAGAATTCAAATTTTTTTGTTATCGCATGAAAATAGGCAAATTTTTTTTCGGATTTTAAGCTTTTTCAGATAAAAGGAGCAAAAGAAAAGTTAGAAAGATTTTAAAATATATGTATGTGTACATACAGATAAATTTATAAAAAGGAAAAACTTTTGTGAAGGAAAACATTTATACATACATACTTTGTTAATATTCTGTGCAAATAAAATAAATTTATCTCACCAACATTATAATCTTCAATATATACACTTTTCACCGTTGTAATTTTCGAGAATTCAGTTTAGAATTAACCACGTTTGATATATTACCAAAATACCACGTTTGATATATTACCAAAACTGCAAAGTTTACGAAAGTTATATAAAGAATATGGTAGTTCTATATGGTATGTTCTGGAAGGTAAATATTTGAACAGAATGAAGAGATTTTTAAGATTTATATTACAACTTTTAATGTGTGTCTGAATTATCAAAAATCGTAATATCGTCATTCATATGTTCTGAGCAATTTGCTCAGGTATATTCTGACTTATTCGTATTAGAGATTGGTAGATAGTTTCAACCTCAACGTATTTAGCAACACAGATATCGAATTTTTAATCATTCTACAGTTTACTGATTGCGATAAATCGTAATTGTGCTTGCAAATTACATTAGTAAAGGTTGTTATTGCTATATTTTTGCTGTGTATCTGATTTCAATATAAAAAAAAACAAATGAAAATTGAGACGAAAAATTATTTCAGGTAATAAATGTGAAACTTTCAAAATATGTTTCACTTGAATTTTGTACACATACCTTTTCTCATTCAGCCAATCAGTCTAGCTTCTAAAGTTTCTCTTCACCATCTACACTTCAACAAAAGGAACAATGCCTAAGAAAATGGAATTGTAATTTCTACCACACTCCTCGTATCTTAAAAATAAGACAATCACTTTATCTGTTTAACGTCAGCTTCTTTGAATTAAAATTTACAAATATTCAAATAAACATACATGTACATACGAGTACATTCATACATACACATTTTTTTTTGTTTTTTTCTTTCATCTTGATTGGAAAATATTTTTTATTAGATTTAAATTTCATAGAATTCGTGCATACTAACGTATGTACATTTGTATATTACAAGAATAACATTAAGGATATTTTTTGTTATGGACATTTTTTTTATTTACTTACTATTTTCTTTTAATTTTGTAATTTGTGTTGATTATTGTGGAAAAATTTTCTTATACAGAATTACAATGAAAAGACATTAATTTCCAGTAAAGAAAATCATTTTATCATAACCCTAATTTTAACTTATCTGTGTATTAACTTGAGGTGTTCTTGCGAGAATATTCAAGAATGGCAAAATCTGTATAAAATTTTCAAAATTTTAGAACTAACGATAAAAACAAATAGTTAAATAATTAAAAAATTTTATAAAGCTCAAAAGCATTTTGGAGCTATTTAAAAATTAAATAAAGAAATTAATAAAGAGGAAAAAAATTCAAAGTAGCTGGCATTCTCAAAGAAAAAATTTTTACAATTCTATATAACAATTTAAATTAAATAAGAGCCTTTGTTATCATATTTCCTTTAAAAGCATAAATATGATACGTGCTTTAAAAATGTACTTGAAATTAAGAAATTAAGGTTTTGAAAATTTTATATAATTACTTACCCATTCTTCATACTTATATTTATAATTAAAATTCTTCTCTTAATTAAATTCAGGGCTCTAATAATATTTATAACAGACATATGTATAAGTAAGTATAACTTTACCGGTAATAAATATTTTTGGGTTTAAATTTTTAAATAAGAATTTTTAAGTAGTTTACGTTGTCTGCCTTGAAATTTGGTAAGGTTACAATTACAAAATAATGCGTTTAAAACAACCAATACTACCTCATTTAAAAAAAAAGACTTTGTCGAAAAATTTATAAAGTTCATTTTATAATCTATAAAGAAATTTATAAATTACAACATATCTAGATTAGATTATTGGTTGGCAAGGCTTGAATTAATCACTTGGTAGTAAAAAGTTATTTTGACACTGCACCATCTATAAAGCGTCTGTTTAGTCTACAATTCTCACATAATCGCCAGTTTCTAAGAACCCCATAGGTACAGTTCCTGCACCTATGTACTTTTTAGGTGTTGCGCTGAGGTCCTCTTTTCATTGTGGAAAACTCTCTTTTCGCAATTTGTGCAAATAATAACACAGTTTGCATTACCTAAACAAAACACAATATTTAAAAAATCCACCTGCTGTGAGTTTAAATATCATATTCAGTTTTATTTTATTATTACTATACATATGTTATTATGTTTATGACATTAATATATCATTATTTTGGTAAGTGGGTAAATTCTTATAAAATTGTATAACCTTTTTATAAATATTTCTTTATTTCTTATCTTCAACAAAATCGTGAATTTTCATAATAAAAAACAAATTACACAAGTTTTAACACTATCACAGTACTGTAACAACATGTGAGTACTTAGACTTTTGTATTTCTTATCACAACATATCATGTAAGTTGTTGACTTTAGTAATAAAATCAAGAAAAGATACGAAATGAAATACGTAGGTACATACTTCAAAATTTACGAGTAACGTTCATGACCTTTCATATTTTTTGTCTTGCTCTCATCATATTTTTAAACGAAAGCTTAGTTATTTACTGTGTATTTTTTTCTTTATCTTTACCATTCTGGTGGAAAGGATACGGCAAAATTAATAAGCAAGATTACATAGTATACTACAAAGGTGATGAAAAGGCAAGAAGAATGTACGGTACAGGATTCATCATAAATGAAAAACTAAAGGATAACATATTAGGGTTTACACCCATTAATAATAGGCTATGCACACTGAGGCTGAAGGCAAAATTCTGTAATATTACAATTATATGTGAGTATGCTCCAACTGAAGATGCTGAAGAACATTATGTGAAAAGGCAGGGTCGTACGACAATCTTATACTCTTGGGCGATTTTGATCTCACCTCTATATAACCTGACATTTAAAATGAGGTACAAACTATAATAGTGATCACTCCCTGATAAAGCTCGTTCTTCGACAGAGAATTTCAAATATTGCGAAACACAATGCGCCAAAAGAATTAAATGGGACACCGAGAAATTAAAAATTCCTGAAATTCGAGAACGATTGCAAGACAGAATTAAGGAGATGTTAAATACCAACAACAACGACAAATCGAAAGTACCATTAACACAGTCACCGACGAAATTGTAAGAAGAAAACAGATTCAACGAAACATTGATTGGT